GGAAAGACCCTGGGGGGGCGTCCAAAAATCGTTCTCTAGGAATGTACCGAGGTAAGGATATAGCCACCCAAGAAAAAAATAAGGAAACCTACCTTTCTTTTGATAAAATTGAGTCTGGCTTGGCACATATCACAAAGCATGTTGTCAACCTACGACACAGAAAAACAAGATTGAAAACCTTGGGACATGTTGCAATACCAAAAAAACAATTTCAATAATTGTGTTAGTGTTGCAATAGTTATATTCGCGTGAATCATTTCTTCAGAAACTAACAATTTATGAAAAATATTTTCACGTGTTTCATATCGTTTAACTACCTGTGTACTAGAAGGTTGAGGTATATAGGCTGAATAGGATGAACCACAGCCCATTCCTCCACCTAATTCCTAGATTAACATCCTTATTGATAATCTTAAACAAGGCAGAAGAATTAATGACAGTGCCTAGACGTAATTATTTGTGATGTGACGAGTGTTCAATTTATCGCAAGTGCCGCGTACAATTCTCTGGTTTAATCAATTATCATTAATCAATCAATAAACATTCAGAGAAGAAACCCAGAAAAGGACATACTTGTTTATGAAACTATTGTGCACTTCATCATGCATGTTCACCTTCTAGGTATAAATTTGGTTTGTCTGTCTGTCTGTTTGTTTGAATTTGTATCCAAAAAGCGTCAAAACGGCTGAACCAAACTTTTTGTGGGACATCACGTGACCCCAGGGAAGGTTTATGAATGATAAAAATTTAAGATGCTATATCGTTTGCACTAATGTCTGATTGAACTAACGTTGCATTTGCACTAATGTCAGCTGATCAGAAACAGGTTTGTATTACGAATGAACACAAATCGAGCCTTACCGTGTTCAATTTGACTAAAATTTTATTTTCCCGTCAGGATTTAATTTTCTCGCCAGGAATATTTAGTAAAAATAATCATCAGTTTAAGTGATCTGAAATACTAAAAATATTTGTTCAAACCATCCTAATTTTTTTGTACTTTTATAGTTTTGATATTTGTTATGCTAATTTTTTTATTTTTACATTAAAAACATTCAATTATTACAATGAAAACACTATACAAACAACATTTCTTCTCTTTTCAAACATTACATATTTATATTTCCCTGCAATGTGTTCACAATGATGACCCTTTTAATGCTCTGTATAATTCTTGCGATATCCATGCCTCTGAGAAGCTGTTCTGGACCTTCATGATATCTTATCTTGCTGAGGTTCATAAGTAACCCCATCGTATCAAGAATAGTTTCATAAAATTACATATAACACTGTTATTTTGGTACGACGTGCACTTTGAAGTTTTGAAAGCATAAAAAAGGCAGACCACATTTTGGAAATACCATCAGATGATAATGTAAATTGAATTGATAAATAAATGCAGCTTCTTAATGAATATCACTGCATAAAGTGCTATACAATGCACGTGGACTATACAATTCACAATTAGGGGACAAATAGAATCAACTTTAAAGAAAATAAAGTATAATAAAATCAACTTCAAGGCCAGTGTGCGGGGATATAACTATTTTACCTAATCTTGCTCCCCTTTGTTGAAATCCTGAATACGCCCATGTATTATGAATAATTCATGTTTCAGAATAATTGTTAATTTTTGTCACAATTATTTATCAATTTTCACTGTAAGCTAATAAACAGCGGTCACTGGATCGAGTCACAGAAATCAAATTATGTGTTTTTGCATTCGTAAATATATTCTTTATCTTGTATAAGTATATGTATAATAGTTTATACATAAAATATGATTTTCGTTATCTTGACTTTTTATGATATACACTGAAGTGTAGAACTATAAGGCATATGCGTTTGGTTAGTTCTTAAACATTTTTAAGAGAGACACAAATTAGAAAAATGTGAGATGTTAGCATATTTCAAAATTAAAACCATATTTTAAATTTACTTTTATTGTGAAAAAGTTTTAACCACAGCAATTTAATAAAAAGATTTCTCGAAAAATTTAACCAACTTGTTTTTGTTTTTTTCTATATATCTGGTTTCATGGTGAAAGTATTGCAAAATGTAAAGCTAATAAATTTAAGATATACAGAACATTCCATTTTGTAGGGTCTCTGAAAGGCAGAAGTCCTTGTGTATGAAAAAGGCCCAAAATGATGCCCATCTCTAACTAAATGTGCATGTTTTATATTACTCATACAGCATTTTCCACAGAAATTAAACCTTATCATGTCACTCTCCCTTTTAATAAAATCACTTTCCAAATGTTTTTGAAAGAGTGGGGTGTTACAACTTATACAAAGAAATGTTTTTAATATGTCTAAAAAGACGCTATTTCACAAGCAATTTTGTTCGTTACTAGATTAGTAAATATATGTATGTAATAAAGATCAAAAACCTGACTGTTCCTTCTGTGGATGATTACCTGGTTTAATAGAACTCTTTCTCTCTCTGATCCTTCTGCTTCTCCCCCTCCTCCTCCCCCTCCCCCTCCTCCTTCTTCTAGATCTTCAACCTGTTCTTCTTCAGTACTGCTTCCTCGCCGAACACACCCTTTACAAGGAACGTTAATTATAGGTAATTGTGGTTAATTGTAGTTAATTGTAGTTAATTGTAGTTGATTGTAGTTAATTGTAGTTAACTGTAGTTNNNTGTTACCTACTCTCTGCGCGTTCCTTCCTCCATTTGTTGCATGCTCTCTCTACTGTTCCCTCCCCTATCTGTTACCTGCTCTCTCTGCTGTTCCCTCCAATATCTGTTATCTGCTCTCTCTGAATTGTTCCCTCCCCTATTTGTTACCTGCTCTCTCTGCTGTTCCCTCCCCTATTTTTTACCTGCTCTCTCTGCTGTTCCCTCCAATATCTGTTACCTGCTCTTTACGCTGTTCCCTCCCCTATCTGTTACCTGCTCTCTCCGCTGTTCCCTCAAATATATGTTACCTGCTCTCTCCCCTATCCGTTACCTGCTCTCTTCGCTAAATCCTCCCCTATCTGTTACCTGCTCTTACTACTGTTCCCTCCAATATATGTTACCTGCTCTCTCCACTGTTCCCTCCCCTATCCATTACCTGCTCTCTCCGCTATTCCCTCCCCTTTTTTGTTACCTACTCTCTGCGCGTTCCTTCCTCCATTTGTTGCATGCTCTCTCTGCTGTTCCCTCCCCTATCTGTTACCTGCTCTCTCTGCTGTTCCCTCCCGTATCTGTTACCAGCTCTTATCCACTGTTCCCTCCCCTATCTGTTACCTGGTCTCTCCGCTGTTCCCTCCCCTTTCTGTTACCTGCTCTCTCCACTGTTTCCAAGCAGTTACCTGCTCTCTCGGCTGTTCCCTCCCCGATCTGTTACCTGCTCTCTCCACTGTTCTCTATCTGTTACCTGCTCTCTCCACTGTTCCCTATCTGTTACCTGCTCTCTCGGCTGTTCCCTCTCCGATCTGAATGAAGGCTCCCTCTAGGTTCTCTGCTACTGAGTTAAGTCCTGAGCCAAGATGAGTTCCAATATCCTGTTCCAGGCAAATACATGATTTAGAGCACACTTAATCTTCTTCTTATGTTAGATTCAATTTGAAGTCAGATTTAATACCTGGATTTAAGCTCTTACAAAATTATTTTTACGATTAGGTTCAATTTAATAACGTTTTTCTTAGATGATTTCGAATCTCAAGTTTATTTATGTTGATTAAAGATACCTATGTCTGAATTTAATAAATTTGAGCTGCGTCTTTAATCTGTCAAAAACCGGTTTCAATTGAGCGCCGGCTTAAATCTTGAAGCAATGAATACGATTTTAAGTGGAACCAACCATATCTAAGCCGAGGCTTAAATTTTAGCCGGTACTCAAATTCTTTAAATTCGTTCTCATATATCTTACGGCCTAAGGTCAATTCAAATTGTTTTCAAGGTTGAGCTCAGTTGTATATTACAAGTTATAAAATGTATACAGAGGATGAGACTACAAAGACGACCGGAAACTTTTAAAATATGACAATACCAAGGTTAAATTAAGTATTAGCTGCCTTAGATATAGTAATCATAGTAACTTATTTAAGGATTTGGCAAAGATAAAAACAAGCCTTCCGTTGCAGGGAATTGTGAATATAAGGAAATAGATTTAGTGTAAATTTCGTACAATCGTCGCTGAAGTCTCATTCTTAATGGGTAGCCCTGTATATGTGGTAAATTACAAAAAAATCATTTCTCTACTGATGTTTCAGCAAATTCCATTATTTATGTTGTTATTGAAATTTAGTAAAGGAAAATCAAAAAGCAAGAATTTTTTGGCAAAAGAATTTGTCCAATTTAAAAGCAAAAATTACAAAATAATGGCGTAGACAATAGTCATTCAGATTTGTTGGTTTTCGCTGTAAAATGTCAAATTTTAATGAGAGTTAAACCATGAATTCCTTCGCTGCTCGTGATAACTAAAAAAAGATTAATTTACTGAGTGTCCCAAAAAAACGATCTTTAAGACATTGTAGCCCTCACCATCGTTCAATTTTTTTAAATTGTACATTATTAAAATCTTTGGAACATTTCCGATTGATTGATACCAATTAGAGGTATATCACAAAACTTAAAGAAGTATTGACTGTTTGAAGTTCCAAAGATTTCAAAGTGTACAATTTTTCAAAAATTGAACAAATTTCACCCCATACGGTCCAGCCGTTATAGCTATAGCTAACATATATATAACAAATATATATAAGCGAAGAAAATTATTATATAAATATGTGTTAAAAAAGTAAATTAATGTTTAAGGTTAAATTCATTTTATTCAGTTTCTTTCAACTTTAAGCGATCAATTATTCATAGAATCAACGTTACACAACTTAATAGATTTCTTTATGTTACAAAACTTAATAGATTTCTTTATGTTACAAAACTTAATAGATTTCTTTATGTTACAAAACTTAATAGAATTCTTTATGTTACAAAATCAGAATAATATATTTTCTTTAATGAATTTTTTTTTTTCTCCCCACCTTTAGAAGATCATTTTTTTTCTCCGCGTTTTTAAAGTGTTTTATTGCCGGAAAGGTTTTTAGGAGAAAATATATGAATTTTTGGATATGCACTATGCAGTAACAAAAAGGATTGGAAAACTTTCCATTTAATCCTTTTAAAAAAATTTTTCAATCATTAAAATCTTAATTTTTTAACTATTTAGCCCATGTCATAATATAAACACTGCTCCACTGAGCCCGAAAACTAAAGGGACTGTAAGCGTAATTTCTAAGATATTAACAATGCTCGATTGAAAACAGTAACCTTGAAACCTTTATCTGATCAATTTCGTGCAGAATATCGTTTCTTTTCTAGGTTTAAATGAGTTTAATTCTGATAATTCATGTCGTTATAGATATGCGTAAGTCACTTTTGTAAAGAAGGGTCACTTGAAATTACTCGTACAGTCCCTTCAAGGCAGAAAGTTGAGTTTAATGAGTAAATATTTTTGTTTATAATTCTCTTTTCATAAAGTTACTTTTAATTTCATTTTATATTCCCTAAATTTAAAGGACTGTTAATGTAATTTTAAGTGACATGTCCGATTCACAACGATATCCTTAAAGGGAGTGTTTGCGAAAAACGAAAGGGGGTATAGGCTTACGGCGAAAAATAAGCGCTTTTGATCGCTACTAATCTTACTTCTATCTGTTGCGTGGCGTCTATACTCTATAAGGAAAAAATTTATAAAGACTACTCATACCGAAGACCGTAGCGTCCATACAAATTCAGAAAGTTGCAACATTCAACTCGGATCGTAAAATAATCAATTTATTTCCAAACAAATCATTCAGATATTACTATTTATATGGACGCTACGTTCTTCGGTTTGGGTCGTTTTTAACAATTTTCTTCTTGTAGACGCAACAGATAGAAGTATATGATTAGTAGCGATCTAAAGTTACCTGTAGCCTATACCCCCTTTCATTTTTCGCGAACACTCCCTTTAATTATGAATATTATTTTTACCTGTGTAAACGTATTCTCTAGGTTTGGGACTCCCCACCCAGACATACTGGACTTCAGATCTGGTTTTCATTAATTTAGAACTTTATGGTTTTTGTTCAAGTCCTCAGAGTTTACTGTGTTTCTTGAAACCCTTAATACTGTTATTGTTGGGAGTCTTCAGGATTTTTAAACTCTCAAAGTTTTAAATAGTTTTTTTATTGGAGTTCTTTAAGTCTTTGTTGGGACTCGGAATACTTTAAATTACGTTTAAATAACTCTTACGCAACGTAGAGATCACTGGGTTTTAAAAAATTTATCTTAGAACTCTCTTAAACCTCTGGTTTGTGTAGACTCTTACATGACTGAAAGCCCTCTCAATGACCTTTAGACCCTCACATTCGTATACTTCTAGAACCTCTCTCAGTATTGGGCCTCTTTCAGGACTCTCATTTATCTAGAACTCTTATTCTAGAAGCCTCTGGATTATTTTGAAATCGTTCTGATGATCTGAAATCTCCAATGTATATAGATACTCATTTGAAAACCTGTAATTTCTCCAATCGGGTTTATTAGTAACCATCATATATTTAGTTTTTCATCACAGTTGCTTGGCTTCAGTAGTCAATCTTCTCAGTCGAATCAATTAACGTTTTGTCCATCTACAGGAGATAAGAGTTACAAAACAACCTTTCATTTTTTCTAAATTAAAAACACATATTTTCAAAAAAATCAGGCCGGCCTAAGGAATCTTTTTATAATGTATGATGTCTTGAATAGACATTTTTCATGCAGAAACTTTTGAAAAAATCAATTTTTGTGAGATTTAGATTGTTTTGAGGCACTAGTCATTTTTATACAAATAAGGTTGATTCTGTTTTGTGACGCAAAGCGTTCCTAATCCATGTTTGAACCTTGTATGTCTGCTGTTGAACTGCAGCTTCTGTGCAGTATTGTGACTTATCTTAATGTTTGGATCGATGGAAGAGCTTTCCTTTTTCAAGAGACTATAACAAACATCGTCTTCATTTGCCGGAGAATTATTAATTTATTCAACTCGGAAATTTTTCTTTGTTACTATATTCGGAGGACCTAGAGAAACCTCGAATAATGTTTACTGTGAAGTCAACAATAGAACTTCAAATAATTTACTAATATTAATTTTCAGAATGTTGTATATAGGATAGGGGTCCTCCACCAAGATTAGCATTACTTACAGATATTTTACCGTAATTTATCATTATTTAAAAAATAAATCCATCGATTTGCAAACCTTTAAGGACCAACTAACTTAATTTACTTTTACCACAAAGTGTTTATGTCTAAAACTGTTGATTTTAGTTACATTTATTACTGCGAAGTTACATACAATTTAGATGAAATCATTTACAGATTGTTTTAAAGCGGTGAGTATAACTAACATGGAATATTGCAAAAATAACACAGATATATTGCAAATATTACGCAAGCAAAATATTGTAAGAGTTATGCATGGCAATATTACGAATATACGCTGCGAAATGAGCAATATTTCATTTGAAAGTAATAAAAATGCACGAAGAAATATTGCAAATAGTTCGCAAGAAATATTAGAAATATTAAGATATTATGCAGGAAAATATTGCGAACATTTTATAATTGAAAAATGCAAGTATTACGCAAGAAATTATTGCAATTTTTACCAAGGAAAAAATGACAAAACTTAGAGAGAGAACGCCAAATTATTAAAAAATGAAATTAATAATAATATTTTTAAACAAACATAATCACAGTAAATTCGTGTAGTTGAGTCAAAAACCTAATATTTACGTTTAAATGCCAAATAGTTGAGCACTGTTAAAATTGAAACCTTTGCACCGGAAATATTTCCCGTCAGACACTCAAATACAATTTGAAAGAAAAAATGTCATAAATAAAAGAATAAAAAATCTAGAATAATAAATACGGAATGGTGTACATCACAATAAACCAACTCAAGCCCTGGGGAAAAAGATGAAAAAAAGTCAAGACTGTGATTAAAGATGGATTTTAAGTGTCCAGACCTTGCCCCCTGTTAAGAACAAAATGGTTTATTTAGAACTAGTAAAATTTCAGGGGTATATATTTATTAGCTACCCCCCCCCCGCCACAGATTTTAAGGGGGAACTGTTAACATTATTTTAATAATTTTGTTCCCAAAAAGATATAGATTTTCCCCCCATTTCTCAAGAAGGGGGGATAGATTTTTACAACGAAATAAACACCCCTGAGAAAAACTACCGGAATACTGGTTCAAGATCTATCGTTCAGGTAACTTAAAAATATCAATACAGGGGTGGGTGGGGTATTTGTTAGAAAGGGGGGGAGGGATACAAAGGATTGCCCAGATTGTGTTGTAAAGAAAGTTTGTGCATAAATGTAAAATGTTGTACTAAATTGCAAACCTGGTGTGTTGGTAACATTGTTTTAGATTAAGAATATTCAGACAAACTATAATTTCAGGAGTTGCATCAATTAGTACTCCAGTATGTTCAGTACTCCAATGGCCTAATTATTAATACTCCCGAAACCTGAAAAGCTATTGAAGCACAACTGCAAAAAGTAAGATAAGTAATAGTTTTGTGACGCTACTCAAAAATAGTCCTTTACATGATAAATTTAAATACTCGAGAAAGCTTTAAAACTCTCAAATACTTGAGAAACGCCAGAACACAGGTTTTGGAGTACTATGTATACTGAAGTACTAGTGGGGAGTACTAGGGAGTACTGAGCCCTAACCCATAACTATGATGCTCAACAATCAGAAAATATTTTTGGTTTGAAATGAATGCAGCACTGTGATGGAGTTTACTCTCATGAGCCAAAGATGATGAGTGTTTGATGGATAAGCTGCTCAGGTAAACTGGGCTGCTGAGCTGCTTTTTTATTAAACTGCTGAGCTTCTTGTCTAAGATTCCTCAGGTGCAGCTGGAGCAGGAGCTGGGGTTTCTACATCCTCAACTTTAACTTTAGCTTCATCTGAAAAAAAAACCAACAATTAATCTTTCATCCGGAACTTCCATTTCATTTTGTCACGGATCCGGCTCTGTCCTGTTCAAAATTTTCGCCTTTTCGACCGGGTAGAAAATCTGAAATCAATTTCAGTTGTAATTCTTCAGAGATTGCAATATGTGTAATACAATACTAGCGATTCAAATCAATAATTAACATTTAAAAACCAGGGGCTGAATTTAATGAATCTACAGCACTACAGGTAGGTATTTGAATCAAGGCCAAGTTCAGCGACCTAGTTCAAATTTATTTAATTCGATCCCAAGGAATTATAATGCGATCCTTATCATGTCTTAAAAGCGCGAGTGGCGGGGGTACGGGGGGGGGGTTGATCACCTCCTTCTGCCTTCTCTGCATCCCCATCTCCTTGCATATCTGAGGTCCAGAGGGTTAGATTGTCTCTGAGTAGTTGCATAATAAGTGTTGAATCCTTATAGCTCTCTTCAGATAGAGTATCCAGCTCAGCAATAGCATCATCAAAAGCAGCCTAGAATATAGAATTAGCATTGAATATAGCATTAACGTTTAATATATCCTAGAATATAGAATTAGCATAGAATAGAGCATTAGCATTTAGTATAGCCTGGAATGTAGCATCAGCATTGAATACAGCTTAGAATAAGAGCATTAACATTTAATATAGCATAGAATATAGAATAAAATAAAGCATTAACATTTAATATAGCCTAGAATATAGGATTATCATTGAAAATTGCATAACTAAAGCATTCACATTTAATATATCCTAGAATATAGAATTCGCAATAAATATAGCATAGAATAGAGCATTAACATTTAATATAGCCTAGAAAAAAGAATTGACATGAAATATAGGAAAAGTATCATCCAAGTTCTGAACAGATTTTTTGCCTTTCAAATTATAACAATGTTAAAATATTTTTGTGTTTTTTAGTCTTCAGAAGCTACAAGATTAAAATATTGCTCATTCTTTTTTTTCGTATTCCTTATGCATTTCCTTGAGGGCGTTAAAAATTCCAAAGATTGGAACTATTGCATTGATAAACACATATATGGCATCCTATAGATTGAGTAAAATCCCTTTGAATATATCTGAAGGTGAAATGTCGCAAGGATGACAATTTATGTTCTATGCAGATTATTCTTATGATATCTACCTTGGCAAGCCTGCAGGCTCTATCTGGTGAGTTTAGAATCTCGTAGTAGAACACGGAGAAGTTCAATGCTAGTCCCAACCTGTAATAAATGTTTGTTTATTTTACAATTAAAATCAAATAATTCAAAAGCAGTAAAATTATATTTACAATTTACATTTAAGTCAATGACAGTGATGTTGCATTACGGGCTGATTTTAAAACTGAATGGATAGAAAAACGCCCTAAATTTCTTTGATAACGGTATCCATTTGGAATTTAGTAATGCATTAAAACCATCTCACCACATTTAAAAAATCTGGGGGNTTCATGTATATAAAGTATATCCTGGCATATATCCTTCAACTCATTCTCAACCTAGAATATCCAGGTGGTAGAAAAAATCCCGAATGTCCAGTGCTTAAGATCCGAATCCTGATCCGGATGGATCCTAAGAGCAAATATTATACAAAAACTCTCAAACCCCTGATCTCTGAATGGTTCATCAAGATTTAGCATAAAAATAAGCTAAAACAAAGAAAAATAATTCGACAATGATGCTTAAAAAATTTCGCCAAAATTAAACGGATCTGAAGCCTTGTATATAACTCTCAATTATCCTGTTGTCCCAAAATCCATATATTCAATATTGTTCCGTCCTGTATTGCGAGTTTTTTTCCACTGCGAAAATCAGTGCTTAGGATCCGGATCCGTAAGATTTTAGCTTCATGGATCCGGATCCACAAATATGCGGATTCGCGGATCCTAATCCAAGTGGTAAAATATCAACAAAATCTGAAAAAAACCTTTTTTCTCCAAAAACCAAAATCTGAACTTTTGAAAAAAAGAGATTATAAAAATGGTTCATCAAGTTTTAGGATAAAAATATGCGAACAAATAAAACAAAAAAATTCGAAAAATATTCAGTAAATCTTATATAAACGACCTGAATCCGGATCCGGATTTGGACCCGGATCCATTTTTTTCCAGTGCAGATCCAGGATCTAGGATCCGAATCCGCATCAAAATTAAATGGATCCAAAGCACTGGCGAAAATATATCTGCAGGAGACAATCCCCCCCCCCTCAACAGATGCTGTGTATTTTAAACCTACTGGGGTGTATCACAAGTTAAATATGCCTGCGGTTTATAAACAATATTCAAACCAAGCTAACATCGAATTTATTTGCAATAAAATTTAGAAAGTGTTAAATCCTTCCTCCTCCCATCAGAATATATATGATTGCTTCAAGTTGTTCATATAAAATTCAACGTATTTTGTACTGCAATATAATTTATGATGTTAAAACAAGAAAATCCCTTGGGTTTACCATGAGAGTTTGACGCATTCCATTTTTCGAAACGCTGCGTCATATGAAAAATTTGCGTAGATAGAAATGACAAACTTATATGACATAAACCTCCCTTATGTTTACTCAAGAATTGGTTTGTGTTTACGTAGATTTATATCAGTTTGTTCTGCCTATAAATCCAATACATTTCTCAATATATTTGTCTACAATACTTATGTTCAGGTACGTACAATAAGAGAAGAACTTTATTGGTGGAAAATACATTGATCTTGAATTGTACAGAATAGGGGTGAATTGTGAAAGTTGCCCCCCCCCCCACATCTTTAAAAATCAATATGAATACACTATTGAGGTGTACACCAACTAGAAGTCGAGCTCTTTCAGATGTTTTAACCCAACAAACCAAATGGTTTCCATAAGTTAAAATTCTTTAAAAGGTGGATAAATGTATTATCTTTTCAGTTGATTTACCTGATTGGGTGTGTGGGTGGGAGCTCCGTCATGGCAATATCTGACGCAGCTTTGTACGCAACTAGAGAATTCTCTGCAGCCTCCTTACGGTCATTTCCAGTGGCAAACTCAGCCAAATACCTACGCAATGTGTAATTATTAATTTTACACTAAGAGTTGTGAAATAGATTAAAAAATATCTAAGAAAAGTTGTTTTGACAAGTTTAAGAGAGTTTGTATTGAATGATCTTTACTTCAAGACGTCTTAAATAGTAAAAATTTGGAGTTTGTAACTGATTATTAAATGAGCTAAGCTTTGACACTTGTTAGGAACATTGTCCTCTTAAATAAGTAAACTTTAAATATATGACGACTATATAATCTTTCTTAAGACAATTAGACCTTAGACTTTTGAACTTATTGTACCTGTGGTAATCTCCCTTCATCTTGTAATAGAATACTTTACTCTCTCCAGTAGAGCTGGAGGGGATTAGATGTTTATCCAATACATCAAGTATATCCTGGCATATATCCTTCAACTCATTCTCAACCTAGAATATCCAGGTTTATGTATATCAAGTATATCCTGGCATATATCCTTCAACTCATTCTCAACCTAGAATATCCAGGATTAAGTTTACAAAGCATATCCTGGCATAAGTCCCTTCATTCTCAAAATAGAATATCCTAGTAAGTCTCTTAAGATACTAAAATTAAACCTTTCTATCAAAAATATCTCGAAGACAAAGGATCTGTGTAGAAAAATGTGTCTAAAACCAAATATTGATTATATTTCTAGAACTTCCTCCTTGTGAAAGTATTGAGCATTATTAACTAAATATTTTTTTCTTTCAGGACAAAAGTAGCTTCAGATTAAAAAAAAACTTGTTTAATAATGAGCAAAAACAATTTTATTGTTGTTTTCCTCAAAAATATATTCCCTTAATCCTAGCTATGGGAGCACTTCAGGAAGAAAATCAACAAAACTAAAATAAAATTAAATTGCGTATTTAAAAACTGGTTTATTTCTGTGCTTTATCAATAAGTAATCCATCCAAATATTAGATTGAATGCAGAAACCAAAAATCAAATTTATTTCTAGAATCTTGACTCGTTTTTACAGTCTCATTCTTTGTGGGTAACCCAGGGAGCAAGGAATAGAAGGGAGAGACAACTGACGCGGTTCGCCCTACCATATGATTATACATGCTTTGCAGACGGTACTCCATTTTATATCGAGCTGTTTGGTTTCTTTAGTAGGGCCCCACAGGAAAAATATGTATNTTGTGACCAGTATCACTTCTCACTAGCTTCTAGAAAAGAAAAATCACTTTATACAAAACAATTACAGGGAGTTGATTTCATAATTTTTGCATTCAAGATAGTGCTGACTGTCAAGTTTGTCTAAGTGGAGTTACTGGCATGGATTCACATATTTGCGTACAATGTCAAGAAAACAATTAATTTCTAAAAACAAAAGCTTCTTTACCTATCACATTCTTGTAGGCTACACTGAGGAGGTTCCTCTCCTCAACCGTCAGCTCGACGTCGAGCCCAGCGACGTTCTTCATCGCCTCAACCATCTCTGCAAAACAGAAGTGAATGCTTGAATTCCTTAAATGGTATGCCCCTTGCATTGAGTTGAGTCTTGAGATTACCTTACGCAATAAATACAATTTACAAAACTTAAATGTTTAAAGGAAAGGCATTTAAGGTCTGTCCTAGAGAACGATTTTTGGACCCCCCTACTTATACTATTTTCAACAAAAAAAAAACATTTATTTTGCAATATTTCAGTGTTAGGTTAGGACAAGGGTCTGTCCTATAGAAAGATTTCTTGGCCCCCCCCCCCCCTTCCTATCAATTTAATACAAGTCTAATGTTAAAAAGAAATAGTTTTCTGAGAAATTACCATGGACAATTTCTGGGCCGAACGCTGCGGCTATAGCAGGCTACGGGGCCGAACGCCGCGGCTAGGACGATGCGGCCACATGATCAACGCTATCCACGTAATAAATTTGAAATGCATGTACAAAATTGATGGGAGGGGGGGGGGAGAGAGGGTACCCCGGAGGGTCCAAAATTTTTTCGATCAAGAAAATTACCGGCAAATATAAAATTATCTAAAATAACGAGAAACAAACGTCGTCTCTGACTAATTATTTTCAAATTACTCGAATCATCCCCTATGTCCCCATTAATCAGAACAAAAAAAGCTTTACATTGCCTGATCAGGCCACACGAAAAAAAGACCGCATGTACAATGATTTCAGAAATTTCTCATTGAAAGGTATTCATTGAAATTGGTTTTAATTATTCCTTACCATCGTATCTCTCTGCCTGTTCGGCCAACTTAGCCTTGTAAACTTTATCCTCTCTGTCAGTCATCTTGATGCACGTTGTGTGGGAATCGGGAGGAAATTTTCACTTTGATAAAACCTACGCCGCGCCCGTCTAAACGATGTAACGACAGATTAGTGGACTGTGAGGTAGAGAGGTGTACCGGCCAATAGGAGAAAAGATAGCGTCACGTGATTAAATATGCCAATTCCATTGGTCGGATAACTGTACAGTGGAGAAAGTAGTCCGTTTTCTGACTCACAATTTTACTCCGCGAAGTGGGACTTTTTCCATTTTTGTAAACAAAGTTTTTTTTTACTTATATTCAATCACAAACGTGACATGAAATTTTTGAAGAAATAAAATAAACCTTGATAAATCAATCTTCAAGGTTTAAGGTAACTACTCTCTATTTTATTTTAAAAATTGCTATATGCGACCCTTTATTTAAATGTCGTCTTCCTAAATATATTTTTTTTAATGAAAGTCTTCCCAATAAACATTATTATAAAATAATTTAAGAGACTGCTGGGGTACTGATGGGATTATCTCCAGGACAATTATTTGGTCGTTTAGGGAACATATTCCCCTTCCGTCGAAAGGGAGGAGGGGGTTGTTCCGTGTTCAGCCAGGGTGTATAACGAAACATATGACAGTAGCAAGACGACTTAAAGGTCGTCTTTGACTTTTAAGATGCTGCATTTACTTTTCAACCTAATTTTAGAAGGAAATTCTAGAGAATAAAAAAAAAAAAATTTCCCTAGTCCTGGCATTTCCAAAATGTGGTCTGCTCTTTTTTTGCTTTCAACCCGAGATATGAAGACTTTCGTTCAGAAATTTCGACATAATTTGGTTTTATTTATCAAAATTGAAATCTAAACAAAATTCTTAATATCACCGGTAATATTGACAGCACAAAAAAGGCAGAACCACATTTTGGAAATGCCAGGACTATAGGGTAATTTTGTGGTCATTGTTTCAAGAATGATACATGGTTAACCCTATTCCTGCTGGGGGGGGTTATTTACAATAATATTAATTCTTTATTTGGTTACGAGATATGATGATAATAGTTATTAGCAGGAATATAGATAAGGTATAAGGTTTCCCTGATAAAGTACTCTGAGATATTTATAACATGTGTACCTGGATCTAGCCGAACAATCTGATTAGCTATAAACTGTGAAAAATACAGATTCCATCAGAAGGAGTTATTGACTGAGTTAATAATTTCTGGGGCTAGCGGGATAAAAAGTCTTCTGATGAAATACATTTTAGTTTGCTAATCTTCATAAGGTTTGATCGAGTCCAAAAAATAAATTTTCTCTTCCCGGTTCTCAAGTGAAAACAGATCCTCAAAATGTCAATGTTAAATTCAATGTTAGTTAAGTAATATACTCAAACCCATAGAGTAATAAAACAAAGAGGAAAAGCTTAGCTCAGATCAAGGAAAATTGAATACAAGGAGGGGGCAATAGGGTTTCCGTACACTTTGCTGTAACGTACTTGGACTGCTGGAGAACTAGTTTTTGAGTAACAACAGTCGAAACCCCCTTATAGACGAACCTTGCACTTATCCACTACTATAATTAAAAAGAAAATGATTAAGAAGTTATATAATCGGTTTATGGTTGCAACACCGTTTTAAGAGATTTTGGTGGTTCACTTTTTAAGTATGAGCACATGATATAATGTTCTGTTAAAATGATATTTAATATATATGTATGGTCTACACATGAAATATATCTCCTGTAAGTGTTCGCTACGAAGAGTATAAAATCTAGCAGAGCTGATCTGTTAAATTTAATCTTGGTTTCATTCTCCATGGGTGCAAGAAACAAGACTTGATAAATTCCGTATAGTCGTCTCTGAAGTATCATCTCTATCTATCTATCTATCCATCTATCTACCTATCTATCTATCTATCTGTATATCTTTGCTATCTATGTATCTCTATCTATCTACCTATCTATCTATCTGTATATCTTTGCTATCTATCTATATATCAATTTATCTATTACTTTATTCGTAATAAGTATTGGGTAAACATGATACTCTGTAAACCTGCACTAATTAAATATCTATGGTTGTAAACTTTTACGTAAAACTCATTATTGAAACTACGTTTTAATTGAATACATAGCATGATTTGCTTAAATGAAACTTGAAGGAAACTGGAAGAGAAGATGAAAAATTTCAACTTGAAGAATTTGCAGCCCTGTTGGAAAGATTGGAGAAAATGGAGTTACAACATAGAAAGAAACTCGAAAAATGGAAAACATTAGAAAAGATTCAAGAAGTAAAAGCAAGGTTGGAGCAGAACAAGAAGATGGATAAATCACAACAATGTATGGCTCACCTACAGAGAATAGTGGAAACAGGGGAAGCAACAGAAGATACATACGACAAGATGTGTGATATCAAAAATAGTACAAGAGAAAGAGTACAGGACTTCATTGAAAGAGCTCCCAAATATGTTGGAAATCCAGAGACAATGTTAATGGTGCGAAAACTTGGAAACTTATCTGCTTAACGATGACTGGAAAACAACCCCAGATGAAAATATAAAAAGGATGATAATTTTATGTATCATGGGAGCAGCTAGAAGAGAGATAATACCGTTTTTCAACTGGGAGCAGCATTTGAGCAATGTGAAGCAGGAGTGTTCTTTGTCAAAATAGTGAAAAGATTCTCACAACACAAATATGATGAGAGAAAAGACAGGAATACCTAGATCAGACAGAAGAGGAGGAGACCTGCAGAAGAGCTCATGCAGAAAATAGGAAACGGAAACTGGTATACCTGGACAGGAAACAGGAAAGTGGTGAAGATACCAGAGAATATTATACTGCCGGCCAAGGAAGAGTTATGGTTACAAGCATATTCTACAAACAAGAGGAGCCTGGTGCAATTATAGGACGAAATGCTCAGGGGACTGTACAATGTAGAGTTGAAGGAAACATGCCTATTTTTTATGCCTAAGGAAGCAAAACGGAAAGGAAAGATTAAGTCAGTACTAGACCGACAGTTATCTCCTGATAGACATGAGTTCAAAACCACATATCTCAATAGTGATAGAAAACTGCAAGAGAGAGGATAAAATGTGGGAAACAAAAAACAGCAACATAGATAGTTCTGAGAAGACAGAAAACAGCAAGAGTATAAGAGAAGTGGATGGTTGAAGTGAAATATTCGGAATAGAAGGATGCTGATTTAAAAAATATTTCTGATAGTTTAAAAATCAAGACTGNATACTATAGGCATATAGAGAGATACTATAGACATATAGAGAGATACTATATACATAAAGAGAGATACTATAGACATATAGAGAGATACTATAGACATATAGAGAGATACTATAGACAGAGAGATACTTTGTTTTTCGCAATAGCTCTTCGAAAAGTGAATGATTTCAATCTTACGTAAAATTTGCTTTAATTTGGCTGGGCTTGACGATTTTCAGACCAACAATAAAAAAAAATTCAATCGTTTAAAAACAAAAGATAAATGTTTAGTGTCGTACTTATCATTCCTGATCACTTTTAAAATCATTATTTGTATTGAGAAAAACACTTGATTTTTAGAGATCTTTAATTTTGATTGTTTGTTTGCTTTTATCGAATAAACGTCCAAACCGCTAAACTGATTGGGCCCCAATTTTGTGTGGGACCTTACATGACCCCAGGGAAGGTTTATGAATAGTAAAAATTTCAAAAATAAGCCTCCAACAAAATTTTATTTTCATTAAATTTCGAAAATTCACGATTTTGAAAATAAAATTTGTGAATTTTTTGTTTTGTTTTTGTTTTGCAATGGATACAAAGAGAAAATGTTAAATTGAAATAGAAGATAGGCGCGAAGCGCCCTGAAAGCGCAGTACCTCTATAAACTGTAAACTATGAAGCGCCCTGAAAGCCTAGTACCTCTGTAAACTGTAAACTATGAAGCGCCCTGAAAGCCTAGTACCTCTGTAAACTGTAAACTATAAAGCGCCCTGAAAGCCTAGTACCTCTATAAACTGTAAACTATGAATTAACGTTGCTTTAATTAAAGATTGGTGTTCACTGTTTAATAGGCAACAGGACCTGCATTAAAGGATTCAAATTATGTCCATTTTGCTCTGGGCCAGGTAGATTACTTAAACTGTGTCACAATTAAGATTATTAATCTTTATCTAAAGGATAATCGCTATTACTTATTCATAAATTATATAAATCACTTTTTTGGAAATATTTTTTGTTAAGGGAAAAAAAATTATTTTCACGCATTCGAAAGTGAAGGTTGACTGACTGTTACACTAAGAATCCGAACACTGGCTGAAGTTGTAACGCATCATTAGCAAGATTCTATTTGATGGATGTGTCAATACCGTATAAGAATAACACCTCCACCTCCCAAAAAAATATTGCAAACACTAATTAAATTGAATACGTTAAAGTTTACTGATATCTGTTCCTTTAAAAGCAAACATATATATAATACATAATAATAAATAATAATTGGAAAAATTAAAAGAAGGAAACGAAAAGTGAAAAAAGAGAATTAATGGCTAACAATTCTAATTGTGTTATCTAACAATATTATGCATTAAGACTAAGAATTATTTTTTTTTCAAATTTAAGAAATCAATTGCTTACTAAAATAATTTATTTTGGCAACTTAATTTGTGCCTTCCCTCCTTGAACAATTTCTAGCCTCAGTTTAAACGATACGATATACTCTTTCAACAGAACCGCAGGTTTAGAGTAATAAAAGGCTGTTTCTTATTAAAAATTCCTCATTTTTAAATGTGAATAATTCATCTTTTGTTTAATATTAAGTAAATCTAAAAAATAAAAAATAAAAATTGAAATTAAAACCAAATGTTCATAGTTCACCTTGTATCTAATTGACACACAGAACCCTGTAAATAAGTGTACATCACATTCACCCTGTATAGGGCCGGGTGAGGATGAGTTTGGAAAACTGAGCCTAAACTTGACCCTGCAAGGTCGTCTGAGACAGAAATTTGAGACACCGTATGCGTGTGACATCGTCCTGCTCAAGGGATTGTTTATAAATCTCGAAGATTTATTTTTAGTTGATTTAAAATAGGTTTGTTCCAATCCAATTGAGCTTTGCTGAGTATTTTAGAAATTACTCCTCCATTGATCTTT